GATGGATTGGCAAAGTTGCAGTATCAATTGGCTCAAGCATGGCAACAATTGTGAGGTTGGCCCAGGACCAGGCAGTGTTTCCTTCTGTTGTGCATAGGGTAGCTATGAATCGCTGCCGACTCGATGGCACGTAACAACAACAAGACCCTTTTCGAACTCGACGGCATTTAACAACAACAATAACAACAAGACCCTCTGGAGTCCTGGTGTGGCACTGTGGGTTAATGTGCTGGACTGCAAAGTCAGTTTGAACTGCAAAGTCGGTGGTTCAAGCTCACTAGCTGCTCCTCGGAAACCCTATACAGGGTTGCTATGGCTGAGTTGGGACTGATTCCATGGCATGTAACCCAGGGAGTCCCAGGGAGCCCTGGTATGGCGCTGCTGGTTAATGCACTGCACTGCAAGGTCGGTTTGAACAGCAAGGTCAGCACTTCAACCTCACCAGCCACTCCTCGGAAATTCTATGTAGGGTCGCTGTGGGTATGAACTGACTCGACAGCACTTAACAACAACAACAACAATATAGCATAGGGAGCTCTCGTGGCACAGAGGATTAAGCATTAGACTGCTAACTGAAATGTTAGCAGTTCAAATCCACCAGTTGCTTTGCAAGAAAAAGATGAGGCTCTCTGTTCCTGTAAAGATGAACAGTTTCAGAAGCCCTATGGAAAAATTCTGCTCAGTCCTAGAGGGACACTATGGGTCAGACTTGACTCCATGCAGCAGGCTTGGTTTGGTTTTATGTAGTATAGTAGCATAGAGTTTAAGTATACTAGAGGACTTCCAAAAGTACCTGAAAAAAATCCATTATCTTTTGATTGCATTTTCCATAAACTTTTTGAAGCCCCTCCTCATATAGTCTCTGGAGCCAGACTAAATTACTGGCTTTGAACCTGACTCCACCACTTACCATCTATTTGACATTGGACAAGTTACTTAACCTCTCTGTGCATCAGATATTGTGTGCTGTCAAGGTGGTTCTGACTCATAGCAACCTTGTATAGGGTTTCTGAGGTCCCATTTTCTCTCATGTGCCTCATCTGAAAGGCATGCTACTACTACCTATCTCATGAGATAGCTGAGAGAATTAAATAGCGAATACACAGAAATAACAGTGGCATTTAATATTAGATGGAAAGCTGGATAAACCCCAAGTGCCAAAACAGCCACTTCGGCCCCTACTCTGTTTTCCTGTGTCCTCAGGAAGCTGTGGCTGTGGCAAAGCACATCAGCATCAAAGCCCAAGAACCTGGGTTTAGTGCATGTGTGGATTTCTTACTTGCTTTGAGAATTCTGAGGTTTTATTTAAAACAGGTGTCTCAATGTTTGCCAATAGCAATCTCTGTGTATAGCATCTCTGCCTGTTTACTTCATCCAGTTGTTTTGTGAAGCCAATAAAAGAATACAGTTTAAATGCTTTACACTGCATATGGGAGTCCTGGTGTGACACTGTAGGATAAATACTTGACTGCTAACCATGAGGCTGACAGTTCAAACCTACCAGCTGCTCCTTGGGAACCCTATATAAGGTCACTGTGAATCGGAACTGACTCGACAGCATTTAATAGCAACACCAGCATTACTACATTTATGTATTACTGTATTTGTCTTCTGCATGTTGATTTCTGCTTTTGTTCTTGCACCTAATACAAGCATTTGCACCTCACTAACTTTACAGCCCAATGTGAGTGTCCCAACTCCATTGCCCATTCAGGGACCTCCCTCCGGGGGCTCCATCCTCCCCGCATACTCCAATCTTTAAGTTGAAGGAGCAAAGAGAAGGAGGCCCACACATGGGTGCTCGGCAGGCCAGGCCTGGAAGTGGCACATGTTGCCATTGCTCGTATTTCATTTGCCATGACTCAGTCACACAGATACGAATCTATCACAAGGAAGCCTGTACAATATAACCTAGCTATGCACCCAGAAGAAGAGAATGGACAGACTAGGTTTTTTAGCCAGCAGAGAGGAAAGAAGTCTTTGCTGCAACTTTTACTTGGATATAGGGGCTCTGGTAGCGTAGTGGTTACAAATCGTGCTGTGAACCTCAAGGTTGGCAGTTCGAAACTACCAGCTTTTCCGTGGGAGAAAGATGAGGCTTTCTGCTCCTGTAAAGATTTACAACCTCGGAAACCCTGTACAGGGTCGCTATGAGTCGGAACCGACTCCACGGCACATAACAACAACAACAACATAGGGGCTCAAATTATCCATTATCAAATTTATGCAGGCTGCCAACATGACCTTTGGTATAGTCAACAAATCCATACTTAGCAAGTGTGCCCCCACTGGCCCTGAATGCTCTGCTCCCCTTCAATTATCTGACCCCACACCCAGGACCCACCCTGTTTGTCCACACACAGCACATTCAGTGTCTCAGGGTATTAGAGCATGTGGATGGACTGAAGATGTGACACGGATCTAGGTCACAGATGAACATGGGATGGCCTGCTTCCTTCAACTCAGCTACCTTGCATCAGCTACTCGATGCCCAGCCCTAGCCTAACCCTGACCACCCAGGTCAGGATGGCATTGAACAGACCAGATAATGAAAGGGACAGAGAAGCTGAGTGTGAGCATGTCAACCTTCCCAGTAGCCCTGTCTGAGGACGCACATCTTCCCTAGGGAACCACACCAGGACAATTCTCCCTCCTAAGAGAGGAAGCTTCTGGGCAAAGCCTGATATCACATTGTGTTCCAGGCACTGGCTTAAGCACTTACTATACTAACTGAGTCAGAATCATAGCAATTGTATAAAATTGGTACTATTAGTACCCTCAAATGTTGCAGGCAGAGTAATGGCCTACTTAAGATGGTGTGTGCTAATCAGTGGGACCTGTGAATCTGTTGCCTCCCATGGCAAAAGGGAGTTTACAAATATGACTAAGTTAAATATTTGGAGACGGAGAAATTCTCCTGGATTACCAGGGTGATTCTGATATAATACCAGGATCCTTAAAAGAAGATGAAAGGCTAGTACCCATTTGATCTAGCTTGGATAGCTTGGACCAGAACTTGAACCAAGAAAGCTACAGATGTTTGATACTGTGAACAAGTGCAAATTGCTACAATTTAATGAAGTAACATTCTGCCTATGAATGCAATGCCACAAAATTCTAACTGGAATGGAAGGATTCTTCATATCAAGGAACAACCTTGTTTCTTGAGTGTACTGGGTTGATAGGGGTGAGAAATTTAGACATTGGCTATCAAAAATGGGGGTGTGTGTGTGGCTATAAAACCATGAAGTGGCTGGCTTGTAAGCTTTCATGAGTGTGCTTCATTTCAGAATGAGGTGGGGCAGGATAGAATCCCCACTGAATAATTTCCCTCTTTTCCAGGTGGATCTAGTAAAGGGAATGATGGGGGGGAGGGGGAAGAACAGTGATAGGATTTTGTAACTCAACTTTGATTAATTGTTAACAGGATTAATTGTTAACAGGATTAATTAATTGTGATTATTCCAATTGTTACTATAGAAGATGTAAAACTAAAACAGGGGAGTAGTTAGTCTTTCATTTCAGGAATAGATGATTCCAGGACCATCAGTAAGGAAGAGTATGAGTGGAGTGTGAGATCCCTATCTAGAAAAGCAGCGATGGCAGAGATGGTGGCAGAGGTGATGGGATGAAGAAACAAGCAGTTACAGACTCTAGGACCATGGACGAGAAAGGCTGTGTACCTGCGGGCAGGAGGCTGGCTGGCAGAACCTGCCCTTTGGACATTTAAATGAATATATATATTTTTGTTTTATAAGTGTACATCAAATATTTTTCCCTTGCTCATTTGTGAAATATAAGATGTAAATGGGGAGCCACAGGAAGGAAGTAGAATAAATGTTGTTGCAGAGAGGGGATTGTAGTAAAAAAAAGAACAACACAAAAATAAAAAACAACTTGGATTTGTAAACCAACGGTTATAGATGACTTTCATAAAAAATATTTTTTATTTGATCTTGCATTCCCATTAAAGATGAAGCATGTTTGTTTGTTTGCTGTATCAATAAGTAGCAAGTACACAAAAAATGTCAAATAAACGATCATGGAAAAGAGGGAATTCTACCCTGCCCCCCTCATTCTGAAACTAAGCACACCCATGAAAGCTTATAAGCCAGACACTTCATGCTTTTATAGCCACCACCCCCAATTTTTGATAGCCAATGTCTAAATGAAAAAAGAAGACAAAAGAGAGACTTGCAGAGGTTATGATACTGTCTTTGAAGATGGGAGAAGGAGCCCAGTGCCAAGGAATGAGAACAGTCTCTATAACCCGGCAAAGGCAAGGAAACAGATCGTTCCCTAGAGCCTCCACAAGGAAGGCAGCCCAGTAAGAATCATTTTGGATTTCTAGCCTTTATAACTATAAGATCATGACTTTAAGTTACTAAGTTTGAGTTATTAAATTACTGTGATAATAATAGGATACGAATACAAAAGGACTTCAGAAAGTTCCTGGGAAATGGAATTGAAAGATAATGGAATTTTTCCAAAAAAAATTGAAGCCCTCCTGTTGTTGTTAAATGCCATTGAATCGGATTGGTTCCTTATAGGGTTCTGAGGAAAGGCTGGTAGGGTTGAAATACCAACCTTTTAGTTAGCAGGACAGTCTTTATTCTACACTGTCACATTCAGGAAAATTCCCCTTGTACATCATATTATAGATGGAAAAGCAGAGGTACAGAGGGTTCAAACAACCTGCCCAAGGTTACACAGCCGATAAGAATCTGGAGCAGGTTTTGAACCCAAGCAACTAGTACTCCCAACCACAATGCCAGGTACCATCTCACTGACCATTCCAGATGATACGGCCTTGGGAAAATTACTTGAGTCTTCTTCATGCTAAAAAAATGAAGACTCCTTCTTATGACCTTAGAGATACTAAAAGCACCTGCTAACATTTGTGGACAGTTTTCCCTGGGCCAGGCCATGTGCTAAGTCAACTCAGAGACTCCACATCCACCTCAGTTAGATGGGGCCCAGCCCCTTGGTGTTCCTAGATGGGCTGCAACTCTTCTTCAAGCTTCTTCTTCCGAGCTCCTTCCATAAAAAAGTAGTCCATGTTTATGAGCACTTTCCCCAGAGGTGTGTCCACTCTGCTGCCCACAACCTGGTTGGTCGAGTTGGGGACTGTGTCTGAGAAGAGAGGCACGTACTCCGGCAATGTCGGCTGCTCCTTCTTATTACCCTGAGGAAGACAGTGCCTGTTATACATGGTATGGAAAACTGGAACACACCCACCTGCCACCCAAGGGATTGTTAGATGTGAAGACCACAAAACAGAGAGTAGACTTCCTTTTTCTCTGACTGCTTCAAAATCCATTCTGGTTTGTGACCCCCAGAAGAGTGACATGATTCCTGAGTCTTTGACTTGCCCCTTCTCAACCTTGAGTCTCCCTTCCCCATAAGTGTCCCACACTCCTCCCTTCCCCATAGGTGTCCCACACTCCTTGACTTTTATCTTGTGATCTAATTACCTGTCAAAGGAGCTCTGGTAGCGTAGTGGTTACAAATTGGGCTGCTAACTTCAGGGTCAGCAGTTAGAAACTACCAGCTGTTCCATGGGAGAAACATGAGGCTTTCTGCTCCCGTAAAGATTTACAGCCTCGGAAACCCTGTACAGGGTCGCTATGAGCCGGAACCAACTCCACGGTACATAAAAACAACAACAACAATAACAATTACCTGTCAGCCTCCCCCAGAGAGTTTGACCGCCAAGGAACTGTGTCTTATTCCTCCATCTATCCCTATGACCTATGGTCTAAGACACTGCTTCACATCTGAGCAGAGCACTCGATAAGTTTTTTAAAATTTTCCATGAGTAAATGTTAACTTGAAGTATAACTATGTCCAGAAAAGTATACAAATCACAACTGTAGACCTCATTAATTGTTCTCAAAATGAACATGCTGTGTAACCACCACCTAAATCAAGAAATATAATCTTCTCCACCCCTTGGAAACCTTTAACACACCAGATTAGTTTTGTCTATTTCTGAAGCTTTTATTAATAGATTCACGTCTTTGTCTGATTTCTTTTTCTTAGAAATATGTTACTGTGTGGGGCTGCAGGTCATGCATTCTCATTGCTATGCACTGTGTGAGTTACATGAACAGTTCACTATATGCTTATTTAGTCCACTGTTGTTGGCTATTTGAGCAGTGCTGCTCTGTGTATTCTTTT